ATTTCATTTTTTAACAATTTCACATGATAGAGAAGGAGAATTGAAGATGGTTGCATTCATCAACTTCCAACACACAAAGAGCTCAACAAAAGGTATATTATTTTTTTATTTGCTTATGTTTTATAAACTTCATTGATGCCATATTTATATTATTTGATTAGTTTGATATGAAAATGAAATGCATAGTGAATGTATTAGAGGAAATTTTTTCATTTATTTTATAATTTTAATAATATTATTATTTATTACGTCATCCGGTTCGACCCCGGTTCGACCGGTCGAACCGGTCAAACCATGAACCTCTCCTTCCGGTCGGTTGTCCGGTCCGGTTTTCAAAACGTTGCACAATGTTCTATAATTGGATTTCTTGCATCCTCTATGAGGATTTCACTTGAGCTCTCACTGATTTTGTTATCCATTGTAGCATATCTGTCAACAATGGGTGTGCCTGCAGTATCATTTTCCTCGTGGAAATGTTGTGTTTGTTGGTGGAGCTCAAACATCGGTACGCCTAAAGATGTTCGTTCACTAACGCTTGCACGTGCTCTTGCATATGGTTCAAACAATGTCAGACGCTCGCTTAAACTTAAACGCCCTACACATTGGTTCATGCAACAGTGAACGTTAATTAACACTAAAGCAACGTCATGTGGAACATTGGGTAGTGGAGTGGGCATGCAACACACAATTTAATATAGCAGTGATGTTTAAATTCAGGCTCATTGATGTGTCTGGACTATGATTACATGCGTAAAATCTATAAAGTTGGGAAGAGAGTGTTGGTTCATGCTGCTAATACTTTTGTCATGTGTTTGTAGTTGTTCAATTTGAATATAAATAATCAAGATACGCCTTCGAGCTTCATTAAGTATAAACTCACAAATCTTATGTCCATGACTTGAACAGTTGTGTAACATCTATTATTCGGAATATAACATATAAGGTTAACATTGCTTGTTCCACTATCATGCACAATGTTTGAAGAATTTTTATATTTAAATTTTCAAGTGTAAGATTCTCATTTATTTTGATGGGATGAGTCATTCCATTGTTGTATGAAGGTATGAACTCCTCTTTAATGTGCAAATCACCATCATAATACAAATTGAAACGTGATATTATATGTGATGTGATCTTTGTATGTTCTCTCAAACAACAAATAAATGCTCGTGCTAATCAACAAGTCATTTACAATACTAAATTGGAAGATGTTTTTTTTTAAACATTGCCAAAATTAAAGTGGAATTTGAATTGAAATTGAATTATTTTGAAAACAAAATAAATATTAAAATGTTTTATTTACTGATAATTAAGGTAAATCAATTAAAAAAATATATTATGTTATGAAATATAGAATAAACATACACAATATTTTACAAAATTAAAACTTAGATAATTAAAATAGTTATATTAGCTAGAGTAATACTTCACTAATAAATGATAACTAAAAAATGTATATTATCTATTAAAATTTTCATCTCTTTTTTTTTTTTTAAGAAAACTAAAGTTATAAAATGAAATTAAAAATTGCCTTCGATTAACAATTCGATTAATATATAACAAAATAATTCGCATATTATTTCAACTACTCTTATTTCATCTAAACATTACTGATATTATCTTATTTATAATTTTAAAAATACGAGATGAAAAAACCTATTTGATTTAGTTTTTATTTTTTTATTTTTTACTTTTTTACCTATTTGATTTAGTTGTTTACAACTTATTTCCAAACATTTCATTGTTTCATAACATCATTAATTAAATAACATAAATACATATTTATTGCATTTTCATTATAAGTAGTATGCATAGTTCATAAATAATTACATAAAACAATATTTTCACATTTTAGAAGAAGGATTTACATACATAGCTCCTTATTTCATACTATTTACATATCTAACACTTAAAGCTTTAATATTACATGCAGGGCGTAACCCCCAAGTGCCGAGGGGGAGCAATTGCCCCCCCTGAAAAAATAAAAAAATGTTTATTATATGGCTTTTTAGGTAGTTTATAGGAGTCTTTAGGCAATTGTCCCCATTTAAAAAAATAAAATACTATGATCTTTAGGTGATTGCCCTCAAGCAAAATTATACACATTGTGTAGATGTGTTATTATAATGATTTTTAGGCAATGCCTTTTTATAAATGAACCACTATAAAATTAATGAATTAGCTTGACCTCCTAGTTTGCGCGGGACGCCATTTTTCAGCTTCGATCTCTCTCGCTTCTTCGTTGCGCTCGAAGACGGCGATGGCTGCAGAGGAAGAGAAAGAGGTACTTTCACCGATAGAATTGCCTGACTTTTAAAATTATTTCCTAAAAAAAAATGTTGGATCTGGCCACATTTGAGGTTTGTCATCTCATCTTTTTTAGAAAGAATATGCAGCGAAAATCATTTCCTGAATGACTTTTATTAGGGTTTGGACAGATGCGGTCATTTTCTGTTTTCTTATCTTTCTTTGGCCTTTAACCAGTCTATTAGTTGCTAAAACTGGGAACACTTTAGATAAATGCTATGATTATGTAGTACTTGTGAATTATAAGAAGCTGTTTTTTATCAGAATATGTCCAGAACAAGATGGTTAGTAACTTACACGAAGCATATGAAACAGAAGAGAAAGGTCTATCAAGATGGGGTGATGGAGCTTTGTAGTTCAAGTGGCAAGGTATGAAGTTCAATTCCTCCAATGGTTATCCAAGCTAAATTATCTTTGGCAATATTAGTACTATATTGAGAGTTTCTGGTGTTTTAACTTGGACCTTAAAAGTTTCTTATATGAAGTAAGCTGTCAGTGACTGTAACAGGTTCTATGTTTTGCTTATAAATATTGCCGGTTACACATTTAGCAGAGCATTGATTTTATTTGGAGGTAGCTTTTATAACGACTATTATACTGGAAAGTTAATGTTTGGGATGAACATAACTCTGTGGTGATGTCCTGACCACGTTACTCTATGATTTTGGCTCCTTTCAGCAAGAAAGTTAAGGATATGACAAATCAAAAATGTATTCTAAAGTTTTTATTGTTGCAGAAGTCTATAAGTTTAGATTAAAATTTCATCTAAAAAGAAAGGAGGAACATCCATCACATAATGCTCTTATCTATTATTAATTCCATGGCGGGAGATGGTACATTATTTATTCTTTAAGATGGAATGCAACAAAAATGTGGCTCTTTTTAAAAGGTTTGCTAAAAAAGATCTAATATATGATTTTCACACTGGATTAAATAATGTGTTTGATGCTGTGAGGTTACAAAACATTGAAAATGAGGACTTCTTATCACTAATTAAAGTCATTTCTATTATGCGAACTAAGGAAGTGAGGAAAAGAGTCGTGATCAATAAGAACCTCATGAAGGGTTTGGCCTTATATTGTTCAAGGCCTCTAGCATCAAGAATTTCTACTTAAATCACTCTCATATGCCAAGAACGTCTACTTAAAGCACTCTCATATTAAGGGCTAGAAATAATCAAGTCTAGCAACTGTGATCAATGAAGCTACTCTTTGGTGTAAATATTGCAAAAAAGTTTAACATACAAAAGAAGTATTTTGAAAACTTCATGGTAAAGTAGATGATTGAAATTGAAATGCGCAAGGAGGAAATACGAAGTAGCAAAAACATGTAAATATAATACACGTGTCAGAAGATAACGTCAAAGAATAATACATTGAGTTCCACTAAGAAGAAATAGAAAAAATTAAAAACTAGTTAGATTCACAAAAAAATTTCATGACAAGACTTGTACTCTACCTTTCTCTGGTATGACCTCATTTTCTCATTCTTTTAAAATCTCAAAGATGCCTAATTCTAGCTCTTGGATCATTAATTTAGGAGCTACATACCATATGTCTAACTCCTCATAAATTTTCTTTGTACACTCCTATCAATGAAAAAATAGTAATTGTTAATGGATCCATGAAAATTGTGGCCAATCAAGGAGATATACTTACAAATAAATATCTCATACTCCAAAATGCTCTCCTTGGACCGGTCCAGCCTGGATCGGCCTTGGTTGGCGGAGCAGAAGTTCTGCCCCAATCATTGCCGCCTTTTGTGGGGGCGGGCCCAATAGTCATATTAAGGAGGGATTAATGAGAAATTAAGAGGAAAATTTTAAATTGAGGAGTTGTTTTAACATTAACTATATTTTGTATGCTTTAAATATATTGTTTACTTTAGGTTTAGATTTTTATCTTGTGTTTTCTGAAATTTGGAGGGTGTTTTGGATTTGTTTGGGCTCTAGCGCGTCTAGAAATTTGGGAGAGCTGGATCCTTCTTTCCAATTGAGGATCCATTTATCTTGTTGTTTTCTTTCATCTATTATCAATAAAATCCTTTCTCGTTAATTTTTTTCAACCAAATTTCCTCTTAATTTATGGGTTGGACCTATCTGAAATTCAAATTCAGCCATGAGAATTCACTTTCTCATGGAGTGTTTCCTATTAAATAAAACTTGATGTGAAACAATCAACAGGAATAAGAGGAATTAATAAGAAAGTTGTTTTAAGTGATACGATTATAAGTTAATGTTTCACTTAAGAATAAATTCTCAGTTTCCGTAGTTGTTAATTTTGATTTGTCATGCGGTTACACTTTAAATTAACGAGACAAATCAAAATTACAACAAAAGATAGTAAAACTAAATATGGAAATAACAAGAATCCGTCACCTAACAAATAGAAATTATTATCTTTAGAGTTTCCTTCTCATGCACTCTTGATAGTTGGGTTAGCGGAGGAAGAACTTCAACAATCCTAGTGATGTCACTGAAAGACAAAGGATGCCTACGGCCTTGATTGACGGGAAGATAGCCGGAGGGGGTGGGGGAACTGGTGGACGTCCGATGATCTGCCACTGCTCGGATGATTGTTGCTCGTCGATGCTCTTAGCCAAGCATAGGAGAATGCGATCAACTTACTCCTCGACGGTGTCGTCAGTTCCAAAGCCGAGATCAAAGAATGGTGACTAAATAATATTGATTTGCCCGTGAGAATCGTACACGAACCCGTGATCGACTTTAGAATCGGCCATCTATGAATAGGATAAGGTTCTTTGTTGTGAGCCTTGGAGGAACCGGCGGTGATTGGTGGGAGGAGGAAGGAGGGCAGCGAATTGGGTTGGGTGGATGAGGGGACAACTAGGTTAATGGAAGTTTGGATGTATTTTTCTTTTAAGTTAATTACCAAGGAAGGTAATTAATTAAAAGAGTTAATGGAGGTGGAGGGAAAATTATAATTTAATTTGAATTCAAAAAATTTGGTTCAAGGGAAGGGCCGGCGGCATAGGGAGAGAGGGAGGAGATTAGGAGGGAATTTAAGAGCTTCCTAATTTACTATTCTAATTTAGGGATGAGGTAAATTAGATTCAAATCTAGAAACTTTCCTAATTTAGCTTTCTTAATTTTGGAAATTATTTGAAATTCAAATTGAATTTCAAATTTAATTAAGTCTCTCCCCAAATTAATGATGCTAATTTAGGTAGGTGCTAATGATGATTGAAATCATCATAAGGGGGCAAGGAAGAGGAGCTTGGGGATGGAAAGACCGGCAGCAAGGGTTTGTAGGTGGAGAGTGGCCGACGGCTTGGAGTTAGAGGGGCGACGGGTGGGGTGGTGTGTTGGGTTGGCCGGCGGTGGGGAAAGGAAGAGAGGGTGGCCGGATGTGAAGGGGAAGAAGGAACGACAAACCGCGAGTCCCGAATTCACCGGCGGTTGACGGGTGATGCAAGACCCTCTCCTAAGGTTTCTCCTCTCAAGAACTCACAAAGTGATCAAACAAGAAAAGCTGAAATTTTCATTCATAATTATCATTAACCTAATACAATGGTTCAAGCCTTTTATATAGGCCTCTAAGATAAAGAAAATAAATGATTCAAATACCCTCAGGGCTACAACACAAAGAAATCCCTCATAGGGGTACAAATGAAAAATTGAAATATAAATAAAAGAAAATACAATAAAGCATCATAAATAGAGACTATGAATTGTAGTTGTCGATCTACGATTCCTCCGATGGTAGGTGCGTCGAAACCTTCTGCCGATGTCTTCATCAGGACCAAAGTGCTTCGAGAAGCTGAAACAACTTTTAATTAGCCAGTTGGTCCTGTTCATGTTGGTTTTTTTCTTTTACCAGTTATAAGCAGGATCTGATAGAAATTCTGAGTGGATTTGTGGGTTTAGTTATTGAAATAGATTGAATAATGATTTCCCGAAGAGTGTGGTGCTCTTTGTGATCTTTTGTACTTTGGTTGCTCTAAGGCTTCGTTTGTTTTTTTAGTGCTTTTGTAAAAGACAGTTTTAAAAAACATTAGTTTAGAAAATGGAGTTTTCTAACGAAGAAGCATATATAAAAAAGCTTTCTCAAAACTGCAGAAAAATGAAAAAAATGAGTTATTGGGAACGTGATTTGACGAACCAAACAACACAAAAAAAAATTCTTCCGTTTCCAAAAATGGAAAAGGCAAAAAAAGGCTCAAACAAACAAAGCCTAAGTAAATCCTTTGTCATATGATTTTTGATGCGTCTGGTATCTCACAATTTTGGACATCCACGGAGAATGTAGAGGTACAAAATAAGAATTGGGATGATATGTTCAAATCACAATATAACGGCACCATAATTCCTTTTAAGAGTTATAAAATGACCCCTAAAGACCTAAAAAATATGTTTGGAACGTCCTCTATTCCCCAAGATTATGGTGGTAAAATAATAAGAAAGTAACGAAATATAACATATGATAGGATAATGTAGTTGAAAGTTCATAATGAATCCAACCACAGAATATCTTTCATTTTGGATATGTGAGATCTTTTAGAGGTCCATCCATGCTAACATCCAACATTTTTGTGATATGTGAGACGTTCTAGAGATCCATCCATGCTATCCTTCAACATTTTTGGGTGAATCTACGTCTCTTTCAGTGTTTTCTTTAACACCAAAATGACAGTGAAAACTTTATCCTTTTTTTATTTTTTGTCTAGAACTTGTTCCTTGACAATGTAACACAAGAAAGGATGTAACGCTCCTTAGCTGACTCAATTAAGGAGCCTTAAGTGACAATTGTGAGGATATGAATGAGGTATTCCGGACATTTTAAAAGAGTTTGATCAAATTGAAGCCAAAGATTTAATCAAAAGATCTTTTTGTAGGTCTGAAGAGTGGAATTCATCTATATTTTTGAATAGTTTGTGTAGTTTAACTTCTTATTTTAAAACGTAGAATAAACTGCAGTTCTAGTGTTAGAAATCTAAAATTGTTCTCTTTATTATTGATTCCACTTCGAACCCTCACTTTGTGATATATTGTTTCGTCTTATTACTTGCTTGGATAGTTTCTCTAGGTTCTTTCTTCCCCTGGAGTCCTTATTTATGAATCTATACTCTAATTAACAAAAATTCCCACTTTAGTATGCATTTTATACTTGCAACTGTTAATTCATGCATATAAACACTCATTTGCAGTATCCAATATTACTTCCTGATGTATTGCTGATCCAAAATTTTAGGTCCTTGAAACTTTACCAATATAACTAATAAATCATTGGTTTGTTATCGTGCAGTTCTTCATATTATTGTCTGCTTTTCTTAGCCTTGAGAAACATTTTCACCCATTTTCTGTACCGTGTTGCCTCAGCCTCAGGTTATATTGTATGATGATTGCAAGAAACTTATAGATAAAAGATTCTTAAAAAAAGATGATATAGTTAAATCAGGTGGAACATTGTCCTTTGAAACTCATATGGTGGAAATTGGAGATCCTGATAGAAACAACAAGCCTTCAGCAGAGTCAAATTTGAAGTCAGTTATACGGTCCAAGCCACAGAAAGAGAAGGTTAGTTGTTCCGTTCTCTGGTTCTGTGTTTTTGCTTCTTCGTGTATGTGATGCAGAAAAATTTTACATTTCGAACTTGGAAGCTTTCCAATCCATTGCTCCTTAACTATCTTACTTTACCCTCTACTTTCTTGTGGGCTCCGAAAATTCGTCCCCGGCCTCCACTCGCTTTTCTTATTCGGCGAGGGAGTTTTAACTGATAAGTTCCGAGGTAAATTTTGGAAGACAGATGGGTTTGTAGATAAGACACTACCCAGAGATTTCGCCCTCATTTTATGAGGACTTTATGATCTGAGTTCTGGTTTCCTATAGGCGCAAGCCCCTATAGTTAATTACCCCTCCCGATTTCTACGGCAGAGATGCAATGCAACCAAATAACTTTTCTATTGCGGCACACATTAAGTGACGGGCTGTTATCTTCATATATTAATCAATTTTACAGTTAAATTCAGAATAATCTTTAGGTAAGCACACATTCACCATAATCCTTGAGTGCCAGAAAGAATAAAGCATATAAGGAAAATTTTTTCCTCAAAGCAAAGTGGATCATCGTAGAAACTTTTCTCGATGGTCCCTTAGTCATGTCATTATTAAGTATAGTTTGTTGTTTTGTAAACTATATTTTTAATGTTTTTACTTGTCTTCTGTAAGTCGTCTATCCATTGTCTTTTGTAGTTGCAAGTTCAACTTTTGGCAACTGATTTTAAGAGATTTTCCCAATTTATGGATTAGCATCTTCCTATTTTCAATTATTAATATGGATTATCACAAATTCACAATACCTTAAAATTAATTTAAAAAACCTTGAAAATATTTATGCAAAAGCATTGATTGGCCGAATAAGTGCCACTAAAAGCAATCTAGGAGGGTGATTATGTTTTTAGCAATGCGGGTAACAATCTTTCAATCATGTCAAAATATGCAAGTCACAGTTTTCCTTTTTTGAAATTTTTTTTTTCAAGATATGTCAACATTCTTCTCTGTTTGATGGATATCTAGAGGGATTAATCTTGCCAATTTTTTGGTAATAGAACTATCTCGTTGAAGTATCTTCTAATTTCTGTATATATTGCTTTCTGATAGAATGATGCTGTCAGGACATATGAATAATAATAGAAATTAGGAGAAATAGAATGTTTAACACAAATTTAGACAAATAAATATAGAAATAAAATTAAAATGTGTAATATCTTGAAGCTGACCTATCAACCATAAAATTTACATAATCTGCATCTGTCTGAATGTCACGACTAAAATCCTTCTCTTTTATGAATAGAATTCCTTTACTTGGGTTCCTTAGTATCATAGAATTTTATAAATTGCGTTAAGATGGATTCTTTAGGATTGCGCATAGATTGGCTTACCACACCAATATTGTAGGCAATGTAAGTAGATAAGTCTTCCTACTATATATATACTGCTCTTGACAGACTTTCATTCCAACATATCCAGCTCTTTCATTAGATTTGTTTTTTATTTTCATTATGATATGAAAATTCTATATTAAGTAATAACTAAGTACTTTAGCTTGTCGAATTCATTAACTTCAAATTCTTGTGGCAACTTTTATTTTTAAACTCTCCATTCCTTCCAAGTCAATACTTATCATAATAATGTCATCAATATAAATTAGTAGTGTTCATAGCCTCCTTGAATCGTTATATTTCACAATTCTAAATGTTCTCTTTGACTTTGTGCATATCTCATGCTGAGCAGTACATTCCAACTCATGCTCATGGAGATTATGTATTTGTGTGTGTGTGTCTATATATATATATATATATATATAGATAATCCAAATAATTAAAAATGTAAAAAGCTCCATATTTAAGCTTAATCCCTTGGTTTAATCTCCATATATACATAAGTTTGAGCATAAGCATTTCCCGCTAGTCTAGTTTTTTACATTTCTAATGAATCATCAGATTTGTATTTTACAAGAAAGACTTGTCTACAATTCAATGAATTTTTTTGCGGGTAACTTTATAAATTGTCTTAATAAGAGCACACGTTTTAGATCTTGGATCTTTTGTTCAGAGTGATGGTGACATGGATGGGGATATTATCAGTAGAATTCAAGTTGGATGGTTGAAGACTTGAAGTTGAGGAATGCATCGGGCTTGTTGTGTGATAGAAAAGTATCCCTCAAACTTAAGGGAAAATTCTATAAGATGGTGGTGGGGCCTGCAATGCTTTATGGTGCCGAATGTTGGCCATTAAAAGAGAAACATAATACTAAGTTAAGTGTGACAGAGATGAGGATGCTCAGTTGGATGAGTGGCTTTACCCTTAGAGATAGGATACGAAATGAGCATATACATGAAGAGGTTGTAGTAGCTCTAGTAGAAGATAAAATTAGAGAGAGTCGCCTTAGATGGTTTGGTCACATAAAACGGCGGCCTTCCGATGACCTGGTTAGGAAAGTAGAGGTATTAGATTTGACTTATGTTAAGAAAGGTAGAGGTAAACCTAAAAATACTTGGTTAGAAAATATTAGAAATGATCTTTCTTTATTAGATTTAGACGAGAATTTGACTTTTAATAGAACACAATGGAGAAAAAGGATTCATGTAGTCGACTCCACATAGTGGGATAAAGGTTTGTTGTTGTTGTGGTAACTGCCATATTCTTTTTTTTAAGGGCTTCTCTTTCTTTTCTCATTGTATTATTCTAATTCACATAGTAAAGAAGGATTAGTGATTAGAAGAAAAAAATTTGTATGATAAAAATAAATATAATGGATGTTTAGTGGAACCTTCATACTTTTGTTTGTAAGCTCAATTGTTTATTCAACAGTTTTAGTGATATGTATTTTCTTGATTGATTGAAATTATGTAGCTTGAGAAGTTTTTTTTTTAGTAAACTTATAATGGTTTAGACTTAGTTTGGGTAGATGAGTGCTTGGTTCTAAAATAGAGTTGTTTGGATGAGGGGTAATAAAGGGCAATCTTGGAGATTTTTTTTTGGGAATAAGATGAGTGATTGGTTCTGAAATAGAGTGATTGGGATGAGGGTAATGAAGCGCAATCTTGGATATTTTTTTTGGGAATAATATTTATTTTTTAGGGTAAATAATAACAAAGTAGTGATCTTGACATCAATGAAGATAAACTTCTTTCTTGTGGGTAGATGGAAGGGTAGATGGAAGCATTTTTATCTTTTTTGGGTGGGAGAATAGCCAATTAAGACACATTTGCTTACTTAATATCAAGTTTTTTTTGTTTTGGAATATGTATGAACAAATGTAATATTTTCAATTATTTTGGGAACTAGGTTGTTTGGGGTATTAGAATAGGGAAATAGTTTATTTTTAAGATTTATGTAGGACTCTTGTACTTAAGTGTCTTTATAGATAATCAATTTTTGATGTGGGCGAATGTTAAAATTATTTTCTTTCATTATTATTTTGGGACTTTTTTAGATAGGGAGAGCTCTGGTGAGAAAAAGTACGTGGCCAATTTTTTGTTCAGTCAATCCATTTTGTTAGGGGCGCATGTACATAGGTGGATTTATGTAGTTTTTTTTGTAAGTATGAGTAGGGAAAATCGTTAAAGTAGTTTGTGATGGTATTGGATTTGACTCGTTTAGCAAAATTGATGCATTTAGATTTTTGCATTATTTTTGTTATGAACAATATTAGTTATATTTTCTATTTTTGTTTTATTTTTATGTTATCCAATGATGGTCGTAAATCCAATGATGAGGAGTCCTCTAGTAGGATGTTCTGAGGATAGTGTTTGTTCGTTTTATGTTTGTTTCTTTCGCTAACTTTTCTTGTTGCTTTGGTTTTTTGGATGATCCCTACTTTTCTATTCTGAATTTTAGTGGTTCATTTAGTCTATTTTGTTCTCCAAGTGGTGTCTTAAATTTCTAAAGAGCTAGTCTTGAATTTCTTTGTTCTCTCTTTGTGTTTTTGCTTTAAGTTGCTTACATCAAAACTCAAATTAAATTTTGATCACATTGAAAAGTGTTAATAAAATTAAATTAATTTTTGATCATACTGAAAAGGTTGGGATGATGGTACATACATCACTTTTGGCTTTTAGTAAAAAATTCATGACACATGCGTGCAATCTTGCATACAAGCGACAAACCATTAAGTTCCAAAGATGTTAGGTGCTCAGAATAGTTCCCCCACGTATCACTATAAATGAGAGAAAAATGAATAAGATTTCTGGTTTTATTCATTGCAAAATTGGTATATTTATGTTTTACTAGTTCATCAATGTTGACCCCAATACTAGTGTCGAGATCGTGTCGACCGTGCAAGGTGAATTTCGAAAGCAAAAGAGCGCGAAATCGTGCAAAAACTTACCCGACGCGTGTCGACCGAAGATCCAAAATTGTCGAGATGACATCCGTTCTCGAAACGGACAGCGCCGATGCATCCGGAGCAACAGAAACAAATAAGATCGACACCCATATTGATGGGGGTCGTCGGTCGGCGAAAAATTAAATTTTGGGCGCGGGGATTCGAGGCGACGACGTGTGCGAGTGGCGATGTGGAGGAAAAAAAAAACTCGATGCTAGATTAAAAAAAATTATTTATTGTGCAATTTAATTAAAAAATTTTAGAAAAGAGAGAGAGAAAGAAAGCTTTTAAATAAAAAAAAAGAATTTTTCTAAATAAAAAAATACCAAAAATACCCCTCACTTAAACCCTCACACTCTCATATCCCCCAAACCGCCCCCCTCTCCTCATTTCACGCCATTTTCACGGAAGGTCGGCATCCCTCTCTTCTCCTCCTCCAAGCAAGGTAATTCTCCTTCTTCCTCTTCTTCTCCAGTCTTCTTCCTCTTTTTTTCTTCTTCCTCCATTATTCTTCTCTTCATCTTCTTCTTCTTCCTTCCCTCTTCTTCCTCTTCCCCATTTTTCTTTTTCTCTCTTCATCCCTCCATATTTCCTTTCATTTTCTTCCATTTTTCTCTTCCCCTCTCTTCTCCTTTCTCTCATTCATCTTTTTCTTCTTCCTCCAACTTCTCTTTCTCTAAACCTACAA